TTAAGAGTATGGGGGAAAAGAAAGAGTCCCCACTGAATAGCTATCATCTATCGTCTAGATGGGTCTGGTGAAAAGAGATGGGGATAAGATTCGTAAGATTCAATAGTGAATAATTGTTATCATGACTAATTGCGACTGTCACAATTGTAAAGGTAGAAGTTTTGTAACAAAAACATGGGAGTGTTTAATCTTACAATCCAGAAACAGGGGACCCTAGGACCATCTAGAGAGGAACGCACAAGCAGAATGTGGGACCTTAACCAGAGAAGCAGCAGTACCATAGATGGAGGCAGAGATGGGGGCATGGAGAAGGGGAGTGGCTGAGGACTCTAGATTCATGGACTAAGAAGAGAGGGACTAAGAGCTGGTGGCCAGGAGCAGACTTGCTGAATGTGCCCTTTGGAGATGTAAATTATTATATATGCCTGAGTGGGTTTTTTTTGTTTGTTTTTTAACAAGTTAAAGTGGGGAGAGAAATACTGTTAACTGATGGTACATGGAGGGGATTATAATCATTGTAATGAAGCTAGTGTATGATTTGTTGAATGTAAAACCGATAATATGTCCTGTAAATTTTCACTCTATCCACAATAAAAACCTTAAATAAAAAAAAAGAGTAACAAAAAGAAACAAACAAAAAATGTATTGTTATATATTTTACTCTAAAAAACTAAAATGTATTACTTTAAAAAAATTATTGGGAGTTGAGTAAAGGTTTATAGATCATTAGTCAATATATTACTTTTTTTAAAATACAAAAAAGTATAATGCACCTCTACCCACACATCTGGGAGTCCTGGTGTGGTGCTGTGGGCTAATGCATTAGACTGCAAAGTCATTTGAACTGCAAGGTCAGTGATTCAAGCTTACCTGCTGCACCTTGGAAACCCTATACAGGGTCGCTATGGGTCAGAATTGACTAGACAGCACTTAACAAAAATAACAACCCACACATCCATTGTGACTGTTAGGAAAAATGCAAATAGAAAAGTTATAGTTGTTGTTAAGTGCCATTGAGTTGGTTCAACTCATAGCAACCCTGTATAGGGTTTCCAAGGAGTACTTGATGAGTTTGAACTGCCAACCTTTGCTGTTCAAACTGACCTTGCATTTCAGTGCTTTATCCTAGGTTTTAATTCTCCCTGTTGAAAAGAAGCAAAGAGGCTCCCCTCCTTCCTTGTGTTTTCAGAATAAGTTCCAACTCACAGTAACCTGTATAGGGTTTTTGAGGGGCCGTTGGTAGCTCTGAACCACCAACTTTGCATTTATGAGTCCAGTACTTATCCTGAAGCACACTATACCAGGACTCCTTCAATAGTTTTGTTGTTGTGTTGACTCTGTATAGGATTTCCAAAGAGGGCTGGTGAGTCTGAACCTTGAACCCTATGGTCCAGTGCATTATCCTGCATATTACTGTTGTTGTTGTTAAGTGCCATAAAGTGGGACCCATAGAGACCCTGTATAGAACTAGTAACAGTAAAATCTTCTGAAAAGTATGTAAATAAGGAATTTCCTAAAGGACCTGGGAGCCATCTTTTGAAATGTAATCAAGAAGGCTCATACGGAAACTCCCATTTTCCTGCAAGGAAAAGAACATAGCTTTAGGCCTCAGGTCATAAGAGAACATAGCAATATTATCTTAAACGTGATGTCATTAGTTGTATCCAACCAGCTATAAAAAGGACAGATTTTTTTTTTTTTTCTATCTTTGCAATATCTTTAGCAGGATTGCCTGTTGCAACACATTCTGCTTTATAGCTTATTCCACCTGTAATAAAAATTTTCTTTCTCCATGTATTTTTGTGTGGAGGATTTCTGGGTTGGGAGTAGATTTCATTTTCCCCTGTATTAAAACTTAAATTCTAAGCACTTGGTATTTTATAGTGGGTTTTACAGAGGGAGCTCACTCCATTTTGAGTTTTAACATAAATTCAACCTCCATTTAGCTATTTTGACCATTAACCTGCAACGTTTTACCCTCAGGCAGAATTTGTTTAAGAGTAGATTACTATGACTCCCCTTGCCTGCCCAGTGAGCGACTTGCCTGAGCATGTTCTTAATGGAAATTGGGGTACTGGGCCCTATGGTCTTGTGTCATGCTTTGCTGGAGGGTCCCAGAACCCAAACTGTAAAATTTCCTAATCTGCAATGGTGTATTTATCCCATTCCCTCCTGGGACTGTCAATTTTGATTTTATGAGGAATTTTTGTTTTCTACCTTTTATATTTGGGGTCCTGATGTGGCCTAGGATAAGCACTGGACCATAATGTCGGTTTGAACTGCAAGTTGTCTGTTCAAACTCACCAGCAGCTATGATTCGGAACCGACTCGATGGCATTTAACAACATTTTTCTAAAATTAGCAGCATGGAGATTAATACTATGGACACCTTTATGGCCTCATGCTGATGTCCTCCCTCATCTGAACGATGTCTTTATCTTGACTTTGTCCTATTTGTTGTTGAGACGGTTCCGATTCATAGTAATCCTGTACAGGGTTTCCAAGGACCTGCTGGTGGGTTTGAAACGCAACCTTGGGGCTTGCAATCCAGTACTGATCCTACAGCACCATACCAGGAATTCTTGTCCTGTTTAAAACTCAATAAATAGGTCTATATAAAATACATTTGAATTTGGGGTCTTTCCCCCGCTAGATCATCTGCAACATAACCTTTAATGAAATTAAAATATATGTAAGATACATATATGGTTCAAAAAGTAAAGTCATACATAAAGTACAAAATGGAAAATATCATTTTTTCCGACCATTTTTAATTTACCGAAACAAACATTTCATAGGATCCTCCAACCGTTCTAACGCTTTGTATGTATTTACTACTTAAATTCAACATCTCCATGTGGTTGGTACGTGTTTGACAGTAATTTGTAGTTATCCTAAAGTGAAGTAAAGGAAACTGGCCTGAAAATGTCAAGAATTGAACTTAATTCTTAACACTTAAAACTTAAGTGTTTAAAAAGTCTGAAACATAGAGGTTGGTACATGTAATTGAGAGCCAAAAAGCAATATTCGCCAGGAGTCTGAAGCGCGCGTTCTAAGGCGCTACACTCGGCTCGTGCTCCATCCAAAGGGCAGTTTCTCGCTGGACCAGGGGAACAGGACGCCTGCGCTCCATAACCAGTCGGAACGCAGATTCCGGCGAGACACGCCAGGTTGCTTCGCCTCAACTAGTCTTGCTACAGTAGGCGTACCCCACGAACAAAAGCGTTCAGAGTGACTGCCGCTCCAGCCACTCTACTCCTATCTTAGACCCCCGCGCCAATAGATAGAACTGAACACTCGATTGGTGGAGCTATTCTGAAGGAGGCGGGACGGATCACAAAAGGCCCGCCTCTCTTGTAGTTCTCAGCCAACTGCAGCTTCTGGGCCGCAGCCGCTGGGTTCGGTTGCGCCCTTAGGTAGTGGTCTGAGGGGCGTGAGGGCGGGGCGGGCGGGGAGTGGACCGCGAGCTGCAGGGAGGGGACGGTCTCAGGGGTCGCGCGGAGCGGGGACGGTGACAGACACGGGCGCGTGTACGCGCTCGGCTGCAGCGCGTCTCCGCGTCCCCCGTCGGACCCTGGGAAGCGGACGGGATTTGGGCTGCTGCTGTCTAGGGGCCCTGCTCCCGGGCGTCCTCTGTCCAACTCCCAGAGCGCCGAGCGGCGCCCGCACCGTCGGTCCCGGCTCGTGTCCTCTCCCCGTGGCCGGCAGGGCCCGCCTCCCGACACCCCTTTCCGCTTTAGGGCAGGGTCCTTGCGGCCCATGCGGGCCGCTGGGGACCTACACCACTCACCCCGCTTCGGGATCTACCTACCTGCCACCATGGTGGCCTTGAAGCCTGTGCGGCTCCTGCAGGGGGGTTAACCGGCCCAGCGCGCAGGCCGTGGGGGCACAGGTCACGGGCTCTGGCCCCGCACCATGGCCGGGGCCATCGCTTCCCGCATGAGCTTCAGCTCACTCAAGAGGAAGCAGCCCAAGACGTTCACCGTGCGAATCGTCACCATGGACGCCGAGATGGAGTTCAACTGCGAGGTAAGCACCCGCAACTCCGACGGGCCGCGGTTAGGGACTGCCCTGTCGCGAGTCGGGTGTGGACCTGGGAGCCCCCGCCGTGGGTTCAGTTGAAGCTTGAGGAATTCTGCTCATCCCATCATCGGGGCATGGCTAAGAGATAGTTAGAAATGGAAGGGGCCATCTAGGCCCAAATCCTCAAGTTAAAGATAATTGCTGCTTTTCTTCTTCGGGCTTTTAGGTTTGGAAGCACTTGTGGAAGGTTGTTTTCATTCATTGTTACTGGAAAAGGTTGGGTGCATCCAAGGTAGAGAAATACCGTTGTCAAAGTCAGGTATAACCTCTGGCTGGGTGGAATTTGAGACTTTATTAGCTAATATTGTTATGCATCTTGTTTGTTAAAAAGTTTGCTTTTGTTCACTGTTTTTCAAAGCTTACATTTTTGGGGGAAAGACATGCTGTCTTATACTTACTTTTTCATACTTGGGGATCAGCTGGAATGTGGATTTCCACGGAGAGGCGTGGGATTTCAGCTTGATGATAGCAGTCATTTGTTGAACACTTAATAAGTGCCAGACACGTGTGCATTGTAATCCTCACAACCACCCAGTGAGGTGGTGGTGGTTTGCCATGGAGTCGATTTCGAATCATAGCAACTCTGTATAGGGTTTCCCAGGCTGTAAATCTTTACAGGCGCAAAAAGCCTCATCTGGTGATTTAAGTTGCTGACCTTGGCTTAGCAACCCATCTGGTCCCCCAGTATGCTACCAGGGCTTCTACCCACTTGAGGTAGATATCATTATTATTATCAGCACTTCCTCCTAGACTGTATATCTAGTAAATGGGAAAATTGGGTTTTGAACCAAGCTCTTAGCTCATACAGTACTCCCTCTCAGGTTTTTTTTTTTTTAATTTTTATTGTGGATTGAGTGAAAGTTTACAGGGCATATCATCAGTTTTACATTCAACAAATCATACACCTTGTTTCATTACAATGATTATTGTTGTTGCTGTGTGCCGTGGAGTCGGTTCCAATTCATAGCAACCCTGTACAGACAGGGTTTCAGAGGCTGTAAATCTTTACAGGAGCAGACAGCTCATCTTTCTCCTGCGGAACAGCTGGTAGTTTCAAACTGCTGACTGTGATATTAGCAGTCCAATTTGTAACCACTACGCTACCAGAGTGGTTACAATGAATATAACCCCCTCCATATACCATCAGTTAACAGTATTTGTCTCTATTCACTTTAGCTCTTTTTTTTTTTTTTTTAAACACTCAGGCATATATAATAATTTACACCACCAAAGGGCACATTCTGCAAGTCTGCCTCCTGGCCAACAGCTCTCAGTCCCTCTCTTCCCATGAATGTGGAGTACTCAGCTGCTCCCTCTCTCCATGTCCCCATCTCTGCCTCTTTCTCTGGTATTGCTGCTTCTCTGGATGAGGTCTCGCATTCCACTTGTGCTCTTCTCCCTGGATGGTCCTAAGGTCCTTGGTTTCTGGACTGTAGGATTACAATCCAGCTACTCCCCTGTTTTTATTACAAAACTTCTACCTTTACAATTGTAACAGTCACAATTAGTCATGATAATGATTACTCACTATTGAATCCTAAGAATCTTATCTCCATCTTGACAAGATGGAAACTATTCAGTGGTGACTTTTTCTTTCCTCACACACTATTAAACTAAACTCCCCCTTGAAATCTTGTAAGCCAGTCACTTCTTGCCTTTACCACCCCTTCATTTTAGGTAAAAGGAGCTCTGGTAGCATAGTGGTTATGACTCGGGCTGCTATCCTCAGGTTCAGCAGTTCAAAACTACCAGCTGTTCCACGGGAGAAAGATGAGGCTTTCTGCGCCCGTAAAGATTTACAGCCTCTGAAACCCTGTCTGTACAGGGTTGCTATGAGTCGGAACCGACTCCACGGCACATAACAACAACAACAACATTTTAGGTAGCCAATGTCCAAGTTGCCCATCCCTATCTGCCCTGTGTACAGAGGGGAGAGCATTTTTACGTAATGTAAAGACTCCTTTCCTCTCTGTTGTTATTTAGAGTTACTACCTCCATGAGTATAGGTCAAGTTCATCAAATTGTAGCAATTTACCTGCGTTTCCTTTATCAAAAGTTGTAGGTTTTTTTGGTTTGTTTGTTTTTATCTTCCTCTAGTCGAGTTCGGATTATCAAGCCATTGAGGCTAGGTCAAGTGGGCCTCTCAAATAATTTAAATCCTTGCTACTCACAAAGCCATTTGAACTGCAAGGTCAACGGTTCAAGCTCACCAGCTGTTCCTCGGAAATCCTATACAGATTCTCTCTGGGTAGGAATTGACTTGACGGCACTTAACAACTCACATGTGGTCCATGGACCAGCAGCATCAGCAGCAGTGACTAAAGAGTAGGCAAACATTTTCTGTAAAGATTATTGGCTTTGCAGGCCGTATAGAGTCTTGTTGCATCTACTCACTTCTTCCGCTCTATCATTATAGTACAGAATTAGCATTACATACTTCTGCGTGATGTATCATGACAGCTTGAGGCGCCCTACTGACCTGCTCCCCATGGAAATGTTAAAATTATTTAAAAAACAAAACACCTACCACCATTTAAAACCTCTTGAAATGGTCTTAAGGGGAAATAGCAAATGAAGAAACATCTACTCAGGAAAATCAATGAAAGTTGTTAAGAAAGATGAATTCTGTGTATGTGAGCCAGGAACTTCTCCCTCCCTCACGCTTCTCAGCTCAGAGAGGTAGAAACTCCTGTCCACACTGTTGTGATCAAGAGCACAGGGCTCCCTCTTCTGTCAGCTTCCAGTCAGCCGACTTTCTTTCCAAGAGGTCAGGATGTGTTTCTCATCCTGCTCCCAGCTACCTGTTGCTGAGGCTAAGCCCAGAGCTGGGTTAGTCAAGAGGCTGAGGTTGCCTTAGTCTTTCCAGCCTCCATTCATGGATGAAATGGCAAGTTAAGAACATGGGCACCAGTTGCACTCGTGTCTGCCTCCTGATTCTTTGGTTCAGAAGAAGCAAACCAAGGCTACTGCTTCCTCCACCCAGAAAGTACTCAGCTCCTAGGTAGGGGTATCATTCAGAAAGAAGCTTGCCATTGTCCCTACCCCCAGCTTCAGAGCCTTGGCGAAGAAGCAAACCACAGAATAGATGTTGTTGTTGTTGTTATGTGCCTTGGAGTCGGTTCTGACTCATAGCAACCCTGTACAGGGTTTCCAACGCTATAAATCTTTATGGGAGCAGAAAGCCTCATCTTTCTCCCGCGGAACAGCTGGTAGTTTCGAACTGCTGACTGTGAGATTAGCAGCCCGATTTGTAACCACTACGCATTGATTTTTTTCCCAAAGAAATGGACTTCATTTGCAGCAGAGCTTGGAGAAGTCCATGACTCAGGGTATTCTTAAGAACAGTTGTAGGTAGCTTAGGGTCATGATAAATGGACTTTGAATAGGAGAAAAATGTGAGACAGAACGTCAAATTGAAAACAACAACAACAAAAACCAGACCTACTGGATGGGTTAAGATTGGAGAACAACCTGAGACTGTTGCCCTTGAGATACTCTTCAAATCTTGAAGCAAAACTAACCCCTTGGAGTCACCTTGTAGCTAAATAACAAATTTGCTCAAACAATAACATTATTATTAAGCGTCATCATTGGTTCTGATGCATAGTGACCCTGTATAGGGTTTCTGAGGAGCGGCTGGTGAGTTTAAACTGCCCACCTTGCAGTTCAAAATGGCCTTGTGGTCCATTGCTTATTCTGCTGCACCACACCAGGACTGTAGTAATATCATCCATAAATACTGTGCTTCTGAAAAAAAATCAAGTGGTCAACAATTAATTTAAACGAAGATGAGAATGTAAGGGAGCAAAGAAACTAATTAATGGAAACAGAGCAACCAGAATGGAAATAATGAAAATGTTGACTCATTGTGAAGAATGTAACCAGTGTCACTGAATAATTTGTGTAGAAGTCATTGAATGGGAACCTAAACTGTGTCAACCACCAAAAATATAGTAAAATATTAATGGAAAGGCATTTCACAGAGTTAATGAAGATACACCCTAATGTATAGGTTGGCTAGTTTGTAGGATAGAACCTAGTAAGGAGATAGCTCAGATCAATAGCCTAGCCTTTCACATTGGTGGTGGTTGTATGCTGTCGAGTCAGTCTGACTCAAAGCCACTCTGTATAAAGTTTCAGAGGCTGTAAGTTTTTACAGGAGCAGAAAGCCTCATCTTTTCCCCACAGAGTAGCTGGTAGATTTAAACTGCTGACCTTGTAGTTAGCAGCCTAACACATAATCTACTATGCTACCAGTGCTCACCTTCTACATTAAGACATTGGAAAAAGAAGACCAAACAGAAGGAAAGAAATAGTAAGGATTAAAGTGGAAATGAATGAAATCGAAAATGGAAAGTTAATGAAACCAAATGTTGGTTCTTTGAAAAGAACAAAACTGACAAACCTGTAGTTAATGGATACAGGAAAATAAAGAGAAAATATTCAAATGAATGGAATCAGAAATGAGAGAGGGGACATTATCCACCTACCTTATAGAATTAAAAAATATAGTAAAAGAATATTATGAATAATATATAACAAATTAGGTAATATGAATAAAAGGGACAAATTCATAGAAAGACACAAATCACTGAAACCAACTCAAAAAGAAATGTTAAGTGCTGTCAAGTCAGTTCTGTCGGAGTGGCTGGTCAGTTTGAACTGCTGACCTTGTGGTTAGCAGTCCAGTGCTTTCCTACAGTGCCACACCAGAACTCCCCAAAAGAGATCATTTAATCTTGTGTTACAGGTTTATTTCAGCCTTTAAATAAACCTATAACACAAGATTGAATTAATAATAATAATAATAGTTTTTTAAAACTACTCACAAATAGCCTACTGAGGTCCAGAAGGCTCACTGTTGAATACTACCAAATATTTAAAGAATTAGTACCTGTTTTCACAAACTCTCCTAAAAAATAGAGGAAACACTTTCCAGCTCATTA